AAAAGCCCAAATTACTCTGTATGCCATGGGGTGTGTTAGACAATCAGGCTTGTTTCTCCCTCCCTCGTGGCACTACAGCGCCTCCTACCACCGATCGCACATTGTATCGTAAGCATGGCTGCAGGAGTCTGTGCGCCCCCCCCCCCCTCCCCCAAGCTGGCATGGGCGGCGCCTGTTCTGAGGGTGACTGGTGGAAAATTTTAAACGCCATTCTTTGGTTTAAAACGGTTAAACTGTAATTACCGAAAGTATATACTAGCAGGATTAACCTTTGACTTTGTTTGAAATTCAAAGAACAGACATTAACCGACTATAGAGTCCACAGAATCTGCAACCTCAGAAAGAAAAAAAAAATAACATAACTGAAGGATAATGGCTAAAATAATTTTACAGCTGCTATGAAGTATATATATATATATTTTTTTAAATCAACAGCAAATTAGAAAAAGATGCACAGGTCTACACTCTTTCCTGTACATATGTATATGCACAGGTCCGGCTACAGGGACCAGACGAATGGCCTTTTCTGAATTTTTCTGTGGTATGTACAGGAACACTCAAGTGCAGGCACACGTACTCTCTCACACACGCGCACACACACACACACACACACACACACACACCCCGCCCCACTGCTAGGGGAGGCAAGTCCAACAGTGACAAACAGCTCCACTGCTACAAAGGTGGCAGGAAATCTATCAAACCAGACAATAAAATTGCAATTGAGTTTCTTTAGGTTTTTTTTCGCTTTTATAGCAGATGCATGTGTCTTGATAGGAGCACCAGAGCACCTATCGAATTCACAGCCGGGCCCCCTCGTCTCAGGGCGATGCTTTTTACGTCGGCGTTGGCCCGTCGTAAACAACAAAAGCAGAAACGGCATTAATCTTGGCCAATTACCGGGAAGAAGCAATTACAGCTTGTCTCAACCTGAAAGGGCTGATCAATGTTTCAGGGGTTTCGTTTTTTTTTTACATACTTACCGGCAAAAAGCCATCACTGCAATGCAAACTCGAATGACACAAATTGGGAACAACACAACAAAGCATTCCTAAAACCTTATTTAGACTCAATATCTAAAAGATATCATTCAAAAAATATGCTCTTGACAAAAAATAAAGCAATATTTTGTTTAAGAAGGACTGGACACGAGATACTCTTTTTGAATTGCATGCTATCCATTCATTTAAAAACGTTAGGTATGTCAACGCCAAATTAACGTTATTTTTGTACAGTCAACAAAATGTAGCATAAAATTTAGCACAAAGCTAATAAGTGCAGAAATTAATATTGATATTACTGAAACATACTTTCACATACTTTGTGATAGAATACGCCTGTACCCTAACAAAACAAAATTCCCCACAACAAATCAACTTGCTTCTGTGCAAATTCCTCGTCTTTGGCCCAAAATTGCTGGTAACTTCAGAACAATACATAGAATAGGTTTTAAACAGCATTACAGACAGCTCATGATTTTAAAATAATCTCGGATCGTCCCAGGGTCCTGAGTGGTTGGCACGTCCATGTCAATATGGAATTCATCCCAGAAATCTCAAAGCAGAGCAGTCCTGCCCCCTGCTGGTGAAACATCATCACTGCATCAAATGCAGACGCACCAAACCGACGTGGTGACACCGCAACCTCCAGACCACAATATGACACGGCGAGGAAATAACTTCATGCTCAATATGAATGCAGAAGTCGGAACTGGTTTTAAATGAGCAGTATTACTAAGGTTATTTTTACTGCTACGCTGGAAAAGCCAAACTCGGCACTCCAGGAAGCAGCACGCGCCAGTGACGCTGAATGTGCACTGCAGCCAGAGGTGTTTGGACTGCATGAGGGCGGGGGGGCCTGACCTTGGAGTGGGTGATGGAGAGGGTGTCCACCCACACACGCCACCCTCCCCACTCGTACTTGATGGCGTGGTAGAGCAGGATGCGGAAGACGGCGTAGACCATCTCGGAGATCTTCTGCTCGTCACTGGTCTTGGGGTGGATGTAGCAGAGGGAGAGCATCCACTCCTGCCACACGGAGCACTGCAGCAGACTCCTGCGTGCCGCACGTACACTGCATCAGTGAGGGAGCACTGGCTTTTCGCGACGGCGGGGCGGCGTGGGGCCACAAGGGCGGCGCTCCTCACCTCCTGTTCTCCCGGCTATTGTTGAACAGCTTGATCATGTCGGACAGGAAGATCCTGCGCACCTCTATGCTTTCGGGGGAGGCTGGCGAGTTCCTCAGGAGGGCAGCTATCACCTTCAGGATCTCTGTCACAAAGGTCACACCCGCCGTTACCCAGCTGTCCCCAAGCATGTTTGACCAACTGCACTGTTACAGTTCATAATTATTGCCACTGTATTACTGCCAAAATGTCTTTCTACGGCCTAAAACTGTGTATTCAGCTACTGTAAACCTGCAATTTCCTTCGGAATTAATAAAGAATCCATCCATCACCCACCATGAAAAGAAATTCTGCCCTCTGATCACTGTCAGCTAATACTGCTAAATAAGAGTGACACGCACCTGCAGCACTCTGAAATTATACCACAAATCTATTAATGGGTTCAGGCAGAAAACTGAAACGGGGCTGTAAGTAATTCTACCACATGAAATTGTTTCATTACCGACATTAACAACAGAAAGATGGCAGCATTTTTTGCAAAAGGAAAAAGGCAGATGGCCAAATGAAAAACTAAAACCACAACAAAGGGGAAGGGGGGTGCATCGTACCCTCCCTCCCCCCCCCCCCCAGATGCACAGCTTTAACAGCATCTTGAAATACACAACCATTTCATCCTAAACGACACCTCGACAGGAAATGACAGCGATGAAAGAAGTGAAGAGAAGCAGAGGGAGATCTTTATCCCGAGCAGCGGCGGCGGGTACGGTTTCAGTCGGCTGGCTGTCGGCACGCGCAGGGGAGACTGCGTCGGGGGGCGGCGTCTGACTCGAAACCAGGGCTGGAGAGACGCGTAGGGGCCGCGCGGAATCGGGGTTCACCGAGCCCCACCAGCACAAAATAACCTCTGTGTGCGACGCAGGCCTTGAGACTAATTTGGGGGGAAAACGGCACTTCCTTGGCTTGACTTAATTCGGCCTGACGTTACTAAAGACTGCAATCAGTGGCTTCGCTACGAATCAAATCACGAGTCAAGGAAGTAAATGAGAAACAAAACGGGGCCCTTTCTCCTGCCTGGCAGGGGTTCAAAGTCCATCCGCACCGACTCCCCGTCCCAGATCATCATCATCTGATCCAAGTCCCTAAACGATGCCCAGGCAAAAACATCATTAAAGCCATAACATAAGTGTGCCGTGGAAGTTCATCTGCAGAGTAAGGCTCTCCCTGATTCGTCTAGACTCCTGAAATGTTTTTAGGCAGCAAAACGCTTTGACTCTCAGACTTAGTCGGTGGCAACGTGAAGGAGATCAGCATGAAGCTCACTGTTCCTCAAAAAACACAAGATATCATGGAGGAGCTATTTGGTAGGATATCGTATAATTGAAGTGAAATTCAAGTTGTGACATGAAAAGCGAAACAGACAAGTATGAAGGTAAGGAGCTCCGAAATGCTGTTATTAACGTAATGCAGAAGAACACAGCACGGGGGTAATTTAAAACCAGGACCGCTCAGTCTCCGTTTCCCCCAAAATCCAGCTGACCCTCCCATTTTCCATCTCACCGTGTGTCTCTTCCCTGTTTGCTATGACGCTGATCTAATTTAACTGCTAAACACCGCTTTAGTCTCTCATTACTCTCCCACTCTTGGCGATGTAATGCACGCTCCCGAAGGGCGCCCCCCTGCAGGCGGGGCTGCACAGGGGCATCACTCACGAGGGTTGAGGATCTTCACAGTGGAGTCAGGGTCTGGGTGCTGCTTGTGCATCACTTGGGTGCAGATCTGCTCGGTGAGGATCTGTGGAACCCGAAAGCCAGTGAGCCAGACACACACATGGGGAGACACCCGGAAAAAAGCAAAGCAACTCCTCAAATACTGACATCTGCACGATTTTAAATACATGAAAAAAATATATATATTTAGCACTTACTGTCATTGTTCATAAGATTAGCGGCGGTGAACCATATCACTGTTTACCATTAGTAATATAATAATACTACTACAAATATTCATGACAGTAAAAATGCCATGTAGATGACAAACAGCAGTGAGGCTGTGGGAATATCAGACCTCGAAAAGGACGTTGTACGTAGTGATGGAGAACTGGCCGGCGTGGAGGAGCAAGCGCTCAGCCAGTAGTGAGAAGAGGCCGTGACTCAGCATGACCTCTGCCTTCCTCCTGCAAAGACAGGCCGTCAGCAACATCTTTACACCGTGCACCATATAGTCAGGAATACTGCTACACCACAGCCATACTGCCATTATCACTGTCACAACAATCGCCATACTCCTCAGCCATTCCGTCATTGTTACCGTTACACCATTCACTATACTCTGTAGCCTTACTATCATTATCACTGTCACACCAGTCACCATACTCCTCAACCATTCCATCATTGTTACAGTCACACCACTCATACTCCACAGCCAGAGCCATTATTGTCACACCATTCACTATACTGTACAGCCATACTGTCGTTAAAATTGTCACCATTCATACTAGTTCTCGATTCACCTTACTCCACAAACATACTGCTATTACTACTAATTACATCATTTACCTTACTTCACAGCCCAAAACTCATTCATTTTTCTACTTTCCATTATTTCTTTGTACATAGTTATATATTTAGCAAAAATGTAAAGAATGCTTTCAAAAATTGAGACGCCAGCAGATATACAAAATGCAACTCTCTCTTAAGAGTATTTTCAACACACAGCCATTTAATTGCTCGCTGATCCAATTATGGCCTCTGGTAGCTCATTTGTTATTAAAATTGCTCCCCAGGACACAGACAAACCACTGTTCTAAGAAGCTCAACCATTATGGTGTCTAAAAGTGGCTTAAAAATCAATTGAGGCTCACGTTTCTCCTGCATGGAGAGGAGCAGACCTTGAGACCCAGCTTTCACGTGAGCTCAGACGGGAGTCTCGACGGAATCGTACCTACAGTATAACCCCATACACGCATAAACTTGTCACGTGACCCAAAGGGGAGGGGGGGGTGCTTCCTGTCTAGAGCTCAAAGGGACATCTCCCAGCTAGCATGGCAGAGAGTGTGGAGCCATTGGGGCTTTTAATCATTATAGCATGGAGCTGAAACCAAAACAGGCACATTCGTTCCACAATCACAACACAGAGAGATGCATTTTACACGCTGCAAACTTACTTGGGAGGCAGATACTTCAGAAAGTAGCCCATGACTTTGAGGGCCTGCACACGAATCCCCTCACTTTTAGATGCCAGCAACTTATAGATCACACTGTAAGGCAAAGGAAAAAGCAAACCAAAAAAAAGATTTAAACTTAATTAGCATTTAATAAAAAAAATGTGGTATTAGGTCGTTAATCACACTGTTATGAAGAAAACCATCCACTTTAAGAATAAAAAGATTTATTAGTAATTACACATTCAGTGACTGCCGCAATTTATCTTTAAGAGCAAAGCCAAGAAGTATCAAATTGCATTATTAGGCTTATCAAAGCAGCATTCTGTGGAACGTCTTAAGCACTTTAAGAGAGACACTGAAATTAATAAAGACGGGGAGGTCATTACATCACCATATTTCTTTGAACGTTGGCATTTCATTAACAACCAGCTCACATGCAACAAGCGTGACAAAGTGGACTTAGGTCAAACATGCTTCCTTTGAGATCAGCAGCCAGTTTCAGGCTTGCATTAATACAGCAGGAACAAAGCCATGCTGGACTATCCCTGCTTTACTGTAAATTTCTCACAAATAGGCTAGAATGCAAATTCAATAATGGCAACAAATAAATCTCATGGCGACGCTAATCTCAGCTGCAGGGTTTATGGGGGAAGTCCTGATCAGCTCAGTGGGACCCAGCTCTGATTGGCTTGCACTCCCGAAGGCGGAGCCCTGGTAATTCAGGCCAATGAGACGCACCGTACGCCGTTGCGCTGGTCGAAAGCCTGCACCATGGAGGGAGGATGCTCTGACATCAGGGCCACCAGGAGCTGCAGAACGTCCATCAGGTTGTCGTCCTACAAGAGGAACCCCGCCCCTCTCCATTAAACACAGGTGCCATCGGTTATACAACAAGCCCTTAGCTAACGCAAACTCTGCTAGCAAAGCCTTTAAAACGCTGGTGAACAAACCGGTCTGGGCCAGAGTAAACATACCTGATGCACGAGTAAATCTCAACCCTCACACAGTAATAATCATGATCTGCTTCAGGCTACCTTTAAACTTTAATGAGAGCATTTACTAAGAATATTATCATTTTGGATTGTTAAAGTACAACACAACATTTGTCGCGAGTTCACAGATGCACTCGGAAGGCAAAACACTACAGTGTCTTGCTCTCATGTTTGTTTGCGGTTTTTGTTAATTTTTACTGTGAATGTTGAGGCAAATCCTATTACCTCGAACGGAGATTATACTGTATGTTACGTGTTAGATGTCATATGTCTGTGCTCTGTGCCACACACACTATAACACCCAGTAAAATTCCTAATACACTCGACAAACTTGAAATATAAAGTATCTGAGTCTGATAACTAGCCTGCATGGAAATCCAGTTAATTGCAGGTCATTTTATCAATCAATATCAAGTGCTGATCGATATCTAAGGTTATCTACTATAGTATGGCGGTTCCCAACCTTTTGATGTCCCAGGACTGGTTTACATTATACAAAAATTTCATGGACTAGTCTCGCAGTTGGGGTGGGGGGGGATGGGGGGGTGATCAATAAGCAGTTTCATAAGTTCAACTGTTTCCATCTTTTTCTGATGCAAAGGGGTTATTAAAAAAAAAAAAAAAACAGAAAACATACTGTCTATTTCTTAAATTAACCAACGCCTGCCCAATCCCGCAGTGTTCTGCAGCCCGGTGGAATGTAGACTGGTACCGGGGGTTGGGAATCCCTAGCCTAGTACACACCCCTACGACAACCACTCATAAACAGAATGGTTCATCGTGACTATCAGACTGCAGGAGGATTACTTATATGCCTCTGATTATTCCCCTATCAATTGCTGGGTTATGCTGCCATCTAGTGGTACTTATAAGATTACAAACGGTAACCTTTCTAGAAGTTAAGAAAAGCACAGCCTCTCCTCCTTTAGGGAACCTGGTGCAGCCCAATAACCACAACAACCAGGTCGGTAAGCGAAAGTCACAGTCGACTCGGCATGACAGCGACTGTCTTTAGGCTGCTAATATCACTGCTTGCTAGCGTGTTATTCAGATAGGTTGCTCATACAGCTACACCCGTGTTTCTGTCACTCCACAGTGCGCCGTTTTTGCCGTTTGGTCACTAACCGAGGTAAATCGCTAAATCAGGAGAGACTGTAGTTCGTGCAAATATTACTTTTTCATCACGGTGATTTAACAGAGAGAAGAGCACATTTTAAAGGCCGATGTAAGGTTTTCCATGGTTGCCTGTTTCGGGCAGGCCTTTGCTTACCTCGTGAATGGTCAGGAGATAGTTGAGAATGCTCTGCAGCTCATCCTCCTTGACCCCATAATCCTGGAATAAAACAATAATGCATCATAAATGCACCCGCTTAAAGCATTCAGCCATTTGTTCTGATGCCACATCTCTGATTAAAGACAGATTACCCTGCCAAGGACAAAATATGTTTCCAAACCATTCAATATCCTAAGATGATTTTAGGCATTAAAAAAAAAAAAGACAACTTAAGACATAATATACCAAGCTGCAAGACAAACTGGAGGTGGGCAGTCTCCCCCTCAATAGCCAATCAACAACCTGCAGACTGTAGGAAGAGCTTAGGCTGCAGCCAATCAGTTCACCCCATACTTGCCAGGGCACCCAATACATTCCCGGCACTGATTATAAGCAGATTATCAGCAAATGACCCAAGAACTTCAACAGTGCATATATAGAATGCAAGCAATTTAAGGAGCCATTCAAGAAAGGCACAGAGAAATTGTGGCACTTATTGAATAATCTCCCCCAGCCAAAGACAGGCGATCCAACGGAGACCCACAGCTGGTTAAGTAATGAAATGCAGAACATCCCGTTACGACTCTGGTTATTAAAGTTCCCCACTAAGGTTCTTCACTGGCAGCAACACGGTATCACTTCCTGTGTCATTCAGTGCATTAGATTTTAATTTTTTTTTTTTAAAAAGACAGCGTATGAGCCGGTGGCCTGACGGAGTGCCCACCCACAGACATTTGAAGGCTCACAGCCAATTAACAGCCTTCGCTGGAGATTCCACGCAACCGCTGATTGGCTGGGAGGGGGGGATTGAGGAAGGTCACATTACCTGGGGCCGACGCTCACTGACCTTCATTATCAGTTGCTTCACAAACAGCAGCAGGAAGGCTCTCAGAGAAAGGAGCTCCTTCTGGTTCGGTCTGGGTCCATCTACATGCACAGTCACAGAACCGGCAAATGTTCAAAAGCAACAAAAGCACATTACTCTAGATCAGGGTTATTCAACTCACGGTCCTCGAGGTCCGAGCCCTGCTGGTTTTCCAGCCTTCCTTTACCTGTCAGTCAGGTGTGAAGCCTCTGACCAATCAGAATCAGTAATTATTAAACTAACTACCTGGGAGAACTGAAAACACGGCCTGGATTTGGAATCGAGGTCCAGAGTTGAAGAACCCTGCTCTAGATCATGGTTTCCCAATCCAGTCTTCTGGTATCCACAAACGGTCAAGGTTTTTGCTCCCTCCCAGCTTGAGCAAAGAGGGAGCAAAAACGTGGACAGTCTAGTGGGGAGCTCGGAGGGAGCAAAGACATGAATCAGCTCTGAGGACCGGATTGGGAAACACTGCTCTAGATAGTGCGCCCAGGCAGATAGCAGAGGGCGCTTATCTGAGCCAAAGCTACAGCACGAAAGAGCAAAACCGGAAGAGATTAATTCTCAAGTCACTACGCTGATATTATCACTCTGATGAAAAACTGAATGAAAAAATGGTGAAACAGAATCAAGCTACAAACACACAAAATCAGACTCAACTAAAAACGAATGTAAAACATTTAACTAAAACTGAAATGACAAAGATAAGCACAGTGTTAGATAAGGAGATTTAACCATTATTATACTGAGTAAGCTTCAGTGAGACTGGCATCTATCCAAGTGAGGGGTGACGAGATGAAGGACCCAGTTTCCTGGAGACAAAGGTCATCACGCATGGAGCCCCGCCCACACCCTTACCTAGGCCCTTGGGCACCACGCCACTGCGGTCCTGTGGGTTCATCACCCAGTAGTAATACTTGAGCGTGTGCATGATCTGCAGTACCGTGCCCACCCTGCGGACGGCGTTGTAGATGGTCACGGTGCTGATGAACTCCGTGGACAGGTAGGTGTAGAGCGTCAGCTGTACCTGCGCAGGCGGAGTTGGGGGGGGACAGATGAGGCCAGAGGTCAGGAGGGGGTTTCCATGGCACTGGGCACACAGTGTTCTATCCCAACAGACACCACTGGTTGTCCGTCACATTAGCAGCAAACGGCCCCACGCTACCAAGCTCCCTGTCAGGGGAACGGAACTGTGCTGCAAGTCGGACCCACGGCCAGACGTTGGCCCAAAGGCAGGAGAGCCCACAGGGTCCCAGGTACCTTAGCGGGCGCGTGGATCCAGATGGCCGGGTTGAACAAGATGTGGTCACAGAGCTGCTTCAGCAGGAGAACCCCGTTCTGCAGGTTGCTGAGGTAACGGGCGAAGGTCAGGAAGAGGTCCAGGACGGCTCGGGTCACGTGGACCTTGGAAGACTGAGGGAGACGTGCCCTGTGAGACACGCAGCTGTCTGACACCCCCCCCCCACACACACACACACCCCAGCTGGCACTGACAGAAACATTACATTTCACAATCGAGTGCACAAGCAGGGCAGCGCCGTCACGACGCACAGGCTGGGAGGAGAGGCTCAGGAGTGTCCATGCTGTCCTTCATGAACGGGGGGGGGGGGTCTTAAAAACGGCCACATGATGTTATTACTATTGTCCTCCAGGGGAACAATTGGCGAGTTTACGAATCCCAAAGGCTCAGATTACAGATATACACAACTCCCCCACCCCCAAATCCACCTCAGACCTTCATTTTACAATCTCCCATAAAGAAGAGGCCAGCTGGGGTGAGGGATGCGATTCTCCCCGCAGCGACACGCTCAGCATCCTGCATCCTGCGAGCCGTTTTCATGAATGTGGGACATCAGGGCTGGCACGCCAGGGCCCTCCCCCGGGGTCTAACACGCACGGCCCACCCTGTACACCGCTCCGGCTGGCCAGCGCAGCCGGCGTCCGCCTCACTCACTGGTTGAAGGCAAACATGAGAGACTAAACAGGAGAGATAACATCATGTAGCCCTGGGAGACCCAAGGACAGACGCTTCGGCTCGGACGCCACACCCAGGCAGGAAATTCAGATGGTGATTATGCATGTCTGGGTCAGCCCTGCCTCCCTATTTATCCAGAAGGGACTCGAGAAAAAAGTAAAATGGCACAGAAGTCTGACCGACAGAAGGCACAGGATCTACCATGACATACTCGTCCACCTTCAGTGTCACAATCATGCCGTTTCTGCAAGGAATTCCGGGGGATCCTGCTCTATTTTCTGTGTGACTGAGAAAACACCCTGAGCTAGCGTGTAGCATAGCATTAGCTTCACCTCCAACGCCATACAGGCCAGGGCCCTGCGTCACCGCTCAGCTGTGACAGACTCCGGGTCGGCACCACGTGCCCAGCCGGCCCCTCACCTTCTCCAGGGCGTAGCCGATGACCAGGAAGCCCTTGCAGGCCAACACCTGCTCCTGCATAGCCACGGAGTTCTTCAGGAGCTCCATGACAAAGGAGAGGAGCGTGCAGCTGTGGGGGGGGGATTAATTAAGGGCTGGTCACCATTTTTCATCTTCACTAGGGAGTCTTCATTCCCACCCTCCAAAAAGTCAAAGGTTACAAAATAGCAGAAGCAAAAGGCTACAGGAAGTACAGCTGGGTGACCACAATCTAGTCTGCATCATTCAGTTAACATGCTACTTTCAGACAGCCTGAAGCGGCCGGACCTACCAGACGGAGGTGTCCAGCTCCTCACTGGTGTGCTGCAGGTAGTCCAGTTGTGCAAACAACGGGAAGAGCACCTGCACTCCCCCGATGGAGTGTATGGCACTCTGCACAGAGTGTGTCACCACGGCTTTCACATCCTGCGGGGAGACTAGCGGTCAGCCAGCGCACCCAGGTCAGGTCAAGTCATGCCGAGTGGGATGTTATTGTCACACCAACCATATTCAGTACACAGCTGGTGACGCTACAGAAATCGCAGTGCTACATACATACTTAAAGTGGCACAGACAGACAGGACAAGGTCAACAGCACTGAGGCACAATGTAAAGGAAAATAATGATGGAAAGTTTAGAATGGACATGGACTGAAGCAGCAGAGGTATGGAGGAGAAATGATAAATAAATATCACAGAAAAATAAAGAGCACAGGAAACAGTGCAGGAACAGTGCAGATGGCAAATGCTGGTGGATGGCAGAGTCAGCGTATGACAAGAGCACAGATCCGCCTGGAACCTGACACCCTCGCTGCGCAGTAATAAAGCTGCCATGCGCAGGCGCATCCCAGTCAGATATTAACCATTAACTGTGCAGCCGCAGAAGCTGATGGAGCGTTACGGCGTTAGGCAGCAATTAGACTTCCCAAAACCTAAAGTCTGCATAGTTCTGAGCTCGGTGCAATTTATCTGCCTTGTCATTCCTCTTGCTAGTGTGGGAGAGAGGGAGGGAGCAGGAGGAGGAGGAACCGGAGGAAGGAACAGCAGAGCAGAGGACACACGCCTGTTAAACAAACGTGGCAGTAAGCTAATATGCAGCCTCTGCACTGCGATGAGTGAGGTCACTGTGAGGAACATGAAGATTCATGCTGAACAAGCAGAGCAGATGATTCGGCCCGCCAGAGGCTGACAATGTCCTCCACATGGACGTCCAATCAAGCGACGGCTCTGGCAGACCATCTCAATAAAAATAATGAACGCCGCCTTGAAGGCGAGCTAACCATAACGACGCCTGACAACACAGAGACTCCTTGCGGTTCAGTTTCATATAAAATTCATCCCAGGAAGCAGCCTACAAGACGAGCATCACGGCTAATTTCCCAACCAAGCTGTAAATGTTTATCACAGTGACCCGACCGTTTTTTTTAAATCCGTTTATGAGCTCTACATTTTAATTAGACATGCAGGTAACGAGATAAACCTTTGGAGCTCATTACTGAGCTCATCACCGTCAGCTCTCAAACTGGCCCAGCTATAGGCCGCCACGAAACAGAACAGGCATACCATGGGAGGCTGGAGCAACAGAGGGGGAGGAGCTACTGGGGAAGGTGGGAGGGGCAGGACAGGGTCATGGGTGGAGTCAGGGGCGGGGTTAATGGGATCCAACCTGCAGCATGAGGGCATGTGGAGAGTGCACGAAGATGGAGGGGTTGTCCTTGGGGGAGGACTCCAGGCAGAGCTGGCCGTCGGTGGCACGTGGGTTGTAGGTGAAGGCCATGCAGCCGGACAGCTTGCCATCGTACAGGAGCATCTTATGGTGCTCGGCGAAGAGGAGGTCGCTCTCTGCCTTGTATTTGAAGGTGCCCTGCAGGCGAAAGGCGGGGGGACATGCAGTCGGTGACCTCACACAGTCACGGCCTTAAAGGCACAAGCCTGAGGGTGAACATACTCATCAGGGGAGTGACATCAGGAATACTGAACACACAGCAAAGACTGCAGTGAGTATGAATCACTCTCTACTTACATATTCACAACAGTTTTGCATATTACCCATCATTCCCTTTTCCCAGTTATGGGACAATAAAAAAAAAACACACTATACCTGCTACCTGATTCCAGGATGACAGATCAGGATTAGGTTTGCAAGTTCTACAAATGCTTACTAGGCCCAGAGTGGTGGTTTCCTAAATGGCAGTGATTAAAATCCCTGCTTAACAACCCCGTACTTCAATTACTTAAAGTAAAACGAGCCCTTTCTGTATTTTTGCCTGCTCTTTTTTTTTCCTAGGTTGTTATGATCTAACCGTTTCGCAAACAAAGTTGTGTTGCCAAGAATAATACATGTGAAAGTATTTTAATGCTCATGATCTTGGATGCTTTTAGAGTACTAAACGTTTTTAGGAGTAGCTTCATGAGAAACAACATTCACAGCATCTCGGTACTCTGGGTGCATGTGAACTTCCTTCGGTGACTCATCGTAACGTTTCACAGTGACGACAGGAAACCTTGCTAACCCACCCCAGTGTCAAATGACAACCACACGAGTACCTGCTCACTTGTTCAGCACCCTTTGCGGATTCGTCTTGCAGCAGATGTGTGACGTAATTTATCGTTCGCATCACTTGGAGCCCGCTAGCAGTGCGGCCCGCTAGCGTGTTAGCGACGGTTAGCAGGACGCCTCGCTCGCTGGTACCTTGTAGCCGGGCCCGAGCTGATAAATCGCCAGGATCTGTGCGGCGTTGAGGCCTTCGCTGAACAGGTAGACCGCGCCCATCTGGCCACAGAAGACCCGATTGGAGTCCGCTGTCTCCGAGGAACCCAGGAAGCACTTATCAAAAGTCTGGAAGAGGAGGAAAGGTGTGCTGATGAGCAGGGTCCGAGCAGAGAGCTTTACACAGAGTGCTCATCGCCTCAGTAAGTACAGCAGTGAAGCTTTCCCTAATACTGCGACAGTGATGACAGGCTGCCCTCAAGCGTCGCGCTCTTGATGTTAGTGTTCAGACTCTACAAGAGAACTGAGCAGACATGTAATGCAGGGGAAGGGACAGCCTCCTATATGAATCCAACATACCTTTGACAGAGAAATTACCAACTATTAAAGAAGCCCCACACTGACTGTAATAATGCAGTACATTCTAGTCAGACTGCTGCATCTCCAGAATAAACCTGGTCGACAAGCTGAGCCCGTCCGCATGCCGACATCCCCGTGACTTACAGACTGTCCTTTGCCAGTGGAAGCCTTCGCGTAACCAAATGGACAGCGAATCTTCCTCGCTTTAATAGACTGGCCCACGCGGTCGAGCAAAACAACAAACGCACGCCGGCGAGTTTGGACAGCGTTAGAGGGATGGTCTCAGGCACAGCTGAGGGCTGCAGTTTGCTTCCGATTGCTGCACTAAATATCCAGCTGCATAATGGAGGGGAAAACTCCGTGCTCTGCAAGTCACCTTTATAAGTGTGTCTAAGCAAATAAATAACGGCACTCTGCTTCATCTGTCGGCAAGGCAGTGAGAAGTGGTTCAGTTACCAGGACGCTATGACCGTGCACAAGGCCCGTGGCACTTTAATACCACTGTAGAGGTTCTCAAGTCTGGCCATTGGATTTCCATGACAACACAAGTTGTTTAATGAGGCTTGAGGTTAAGATTTGAGTGGATGTGGCCACAGGCTAAGCATGTAACTGGAGGGGCACACCTAAAACCTACCCGGGGCACAGAAGGGAGGGGTTCCTTTGACAACTGGGGGGGGGGGGGGGGGGGGTTGGTGGGGGGGGGGGGGGGGGGGGGGGGAGTGTCCTAACTGATCGCTAGAGCAGACGTGATAAAAGTACTGAACTGGCGGGGAGGGGGGGTGCAGATCTGGAATGTGTCAACTGCACCAGTGAGCAAAGCGATGCAAGCTGGTGAACTTAAGCAAAACAAACTTTAGGCGAATAGCTAAGTATAACGGGCTGAGTTTCACTGCTGTAATAATATAATAAGCCAGCCTGCCAGCACAATATTAGACAAGCAGAACAAAGTCTGAAGTATGACATCCAACCATATTGTTTATCCAAGAAAAGGCTGTGAGGAGCCTAATGCCAACCTGGCCAACAGCAGAGGGCACTAGGGGACAGCATGGGATGGTATGCCAGTCTTAGGGTGCACACACACACACACACACACACCACACACACACACACACACACACACACACACACACACACACACACACACACACACACACAATGATAGTTCAAATGGGTAATTCAGGTCCCCAGTTAAGTACTCTGTGACTACAATCAACTGATTGGTTGAAACAACATCTTGGCCTGGACTTTTATTTGCTGGAGCTGAATTACCCACCTCTGACACACACAGACACTGGAAAATTCAGAGATGACAGCTTGCATAGCATTGCAGCAGATGGAAAACACACAACAGATCTTAGACAAATCAGCAAAAAGGTACAAGTCTCATTATTCCTGGATGCAACCTTCCTACACAGACACCCGACTGTGATACTTACATCACTGGTGTTGACAAACCAGGTGATCTCGCCGTAGGATGCCAACTCTCCATTGACATAGCAGCTGATCTCGCTGTTCTTCCAGCGATTGTAGATGTGAACGATCGTCACCATGTACCACTGAAAAACACAAATACTCGCAACATAAATCACACCAACACATTGGGCTGTGCTCAAAAGCCCAGCGTAACCCTGCCTCTCCGTAACTCTTGTTAAATCGAGAGTGTCGACTTAATCACAACAGTCATGTCAAACTGCTTTGCAGGGTCAGACTCCTACCCCAGGAAAATTGGTTATTTCAATTCCAGAACACTCGCAGAGAATCGTAAATGGAACGCCTAAGAGCAGAATACATCCTGGGATCTTAAGAACTCTTTTTCCCCTCCAAACATAACAAATGACAGCCCCGAACCGAGAATAATAGACCCTAAATTGGCCATTCACACCCTGAGCATAGGGTTGTCTGCAGGTGCTCGAATCAAGCTCAGTTCGGCTCAATTCCACTCCGTCTGTTATTGCACAATAACTGGCTGCCAGGCACAATATTCTAAATTAAAAAGGGCATATATGTATTTCATGGCCATTTAAAATATTTTCACACATTTCCACAGCTAGGTGTTTCATTAAAACAACTTGGGTTAAGTATATTAATCAGAAATACAGCAATCAGGCCATAGTTACATATCTGATCAGGGAACATTTGCACCTAATTTCACACAGGCATCGGTCTAGACACCCACCTTCTGGGGCTTGAAGTCATACTTCACACAGTGCTGGAAGCCTTTGCCTTTGGACTTGAGCGAGGTCACGATCAGACAGCCCCCGACAAAGTGGGCGGAGTAGCCCAGACCCTTGCTGGTCCGAAAGCTGGCAGGGAGGCACGTTTCAGTGTTAAGGCTGGCCCAGAGGGGGCAGCCCGAGACGTCCCACCCGCTCACAGTGGGACACAGGCACGTTTAACAGAGACAGATAAAAAAAATCCACAATCCAGTTTTCTGTAAATTAAATTTTTGGCAAAAATTAACTTGCTGCCTGAAAATGGGCCAAAGCAGGCCTGATTTACTACCCTCTAGCAAGGTTTAAACAAAATCAGTGATCACAGAGGTAGGGCTTCTACACCAGGCAGCTGTGGTCCTTAGTTCCAGGCCTTGAAGATCTTAGTATCAAGCCTCACTCAGCTCCACTCTTCAAGCCTTTAGGTCCAACATCAAGCAGTTAGCAGCTCCCGTCTTTAGTTTCCAGATCCTGCGGAGCCTGCTACAGGCTACTCCCTGGCATCTCACGCTATCGCTTAGAAACAGGAAAAATTTATCATGGCTGATCATCTCTGTAATGCAAGGATTCTGAATAGAAAGGGACACTAATCTCATCAGATCTGGAGAACGCAGGATCGCATAAAACAGCAATGATGCTGCAGGGTGCCCACAAGCCTAAAAAGAACAAAAATCTACCAATTGAACTGGAGAGAAACGGCACATGACTCTGGTCACATGACTGCAACTCAGGGACACCAGCTCCCAGTGTTGAACTGGGGACCCTGACACTTACCAGTACAGGTAAGGCTTGTCCTTATCGACGTTGATGTTGTTTATGGGGTCCATACGTATCCAGGTGTGAAAGGTGAAGCCGTTCTGGTACGGCCACTTTGCGATGGGTGGGAGAGCGATCGCCTGGGGGGGGGTAAACATGGCGTCAACAAACACCGTCATCCTACAGGAAATCCCAGGACAGATGGTACGCTCATAAATGCATGTATGTCAAGGATCAAGGATGTTAAAATCGTGGACTTAAAGCCTGGGGATTGGCTGGGTCAAGCCCAAGGTCTGAGTGTCATTGGTCAGGATTTAAAAAAATAAAAAATAAAATAAAAAAGACGAGTAACCTGTCAAAACAGCGCTATATGAGGTAAAATCACTGGCCTTGAGGCTCCAGCATTTTAGACAAAACATCACAAGCACCGCTAATTACTGCTAACTACAGGGAACCTTCAGAGGAAAATTCACATGCGACCAGGAAGAAACATGAAGAGCACAGGGGCTTGGAGCTGAAAGCAGAGTCACACCCCACATTTGAACAGTCGCTCATCACCATCATCATCATCATCATCATCATCCTCCCCCGCTGATAATGCCAGTTTCTTCCATCCACTTGTTTTACTCCCCTTTACTGGCTCTTTCCTGATCCCCATCTGCGCTGACACCATTTTGAATCATGCATTGTTTTCCCATTATCATCAGTGTGCTGTTTCACACGCATCCTGTGTGTGTGTGTGTGTGGGGGGGAGCGGGCGTGCCATTTCCAGGCCAGTCAGGAAACATGGCTGAGAAGCATACTCCCCCCTCCCTCTTACTTCCTGGCAGAGACAGGAACCCCCCTTCCCCCACCAGTCCCCTCACACAGGATGCCACAGACAGAGGTATTCCCAGTCACACAACCCCGCCACACAGAAACAGTGCACCGTGGTTAGTCTACTGCCCAGACGAGCCTGAAGAAACAATATCAGCACAAATGGTCCAGAAATAAGGCTTTAGGAAGCACAGCACGTTAGCTTACCGGCAACAAGATTTCCATATTCCGTCACTGGCTACCTAACAAAAAGCATCATTTTCTGTTCCCCAGCTGTGTCCCCATGCAGCTGATTTTCAGTACTGCCAAAGCAAAATCTGCACTTTGCACGGGGAGACACACCGAGGAAAGGCTGCCTCTGAATGCGCCGGTTTCCCCTCTCGTCACGGTGTTCATGGCAGCCATCCCATTTGGCCAACATCACCCATCTCCTCGCCCTCAAACCTTTTGGGGGCGACGGCTCTCTCAGAATCGACACTCGATCAAGATCCAATCAACAGCCTATTTCTGCACAGATTGTCATTGCCTGTAACAGCCCTGTTATGACCGGAGTGACACAGCCAGCTAAATTAACAGCTAAGGAGGCCGACGGTATCAGCTGTTAAACTGGCTAGTTCAGGGGTCTCCTGCAGAGGAGAAGATTACAAATTTCAAGGCCCTGCCCTCATTTCACTCACACTGACAGAAAAAGGATGTTTGTCTTTTTTTTTTTTTTTTTTTTTTAAATCACAACAGGTGAAATCCCAGGGAGACTGAGCCTATTATTGGCACCTCCAGGCTCCAGTTGTGATGCTCATCTGCTTCCTTGAAGTGAGGACAAGCTGTTTCTCGATGTCCATTCAGTGGATGAGAAATGGTGAAACAATCTCTGCTATGTTTTTTTGCACTGGGAAGGTCATCAGCTTCAGACCAGCGTTAAGTCTTATCACATTTAAAACGTGACTTAAGCTTCAGCTTAGGGAGCTACAGGCTTACTTTGGGGTGGGATTACAAATGCAAGCCTTGCAGGGGAGTTCAGAGACACGCACACGGGCACGCTTGTTACCATGACGATGGAATCTGGCAATGCGAGCCTGACTTCATGCACTAGTTTCAGCCATAAACAGAGGCAGAGATAAGGTAACTAGGCTAGCATCTGTCAGCTGGTGCACAGCTGTGAGAGAAATTCACGGCCATTCCACATGACATCCAGATGGTGGTATGGGTAACATTAGCCAGTCTGCGGCCTTGCTGTGCCCTTCTCCTATCAACCCAAGCCAACGCTGTGTCAGTGTAGATGACTTCAAATGATCAAAGCCACCCTGGTAATTTCAAGAGCAAAACCACCAAGAAAGATAGAGGAGTTTCGAGAAACACGCTCACCGCTGCCGTCTTCCCCGGGAAGCTGAAGAACGAGTCCGGGCCGCTGTGCTGGGCCATTGACTTCAGCACCGACAGCAGCTTCACAGCGTGGGGCGGCTGGGGGTGGCACAAGAGGGGAGGAGTCAGAGCACCACGCATGCACGCCCACCGTGAAACAGGCAAGCACACGGATGTTAACATCCAGAACATCTGACATGTCAGACGGCAATGACAACCTCAAAAAATGGTGGGCGTTTATGGCATGGGGTGGGAATCAAAGACGCGATGCAAGGGAGGGACTTCATCATCATCATCATCATCATCATCATCATCATCATCATCATCATGATTTTTACGCTTTACTGATAAATTTTTGTATAGCTCTATGATTACGTTTCCTAAATAAGCTGTTAATAACCAAACAGCTAATGGCTCAAGAAAAGCTGCGAGCGGCATAGAAGTTAAACCCAGATAATTTACTGTACATTTATTGACATAGATGCTTTATCTAAAGCAATGTACAACCCAGTAAGAGGGACAGACGGTCCCAGGAGCAGTTGATATTAAAGGGCCTTGCTCAAGGGCCCAATTGGTAACATCATTCCACTGACAGCGGGACTTGAACCAGTGACCTTCTGATCAGTAGCATGGTGTCCTAAACCAGTGAGCCACACACCATCCCTACTTTTCTATTCACAGGTATTGAGTCTCTGGGACTAATGCATCATACTGGTAACCTTATTCCACGTCCTCCCTCACCTCACCATCAGCTTGCCAGACGCGTCGCCCAAATACACACGCCGGGCAATCAGTGAACCATCACAGCAGAAACAAGCAGACATCCCATAATAGGAAGACACACATACCCACTGTCCATTCTCTCCCTGAAGCTTGCTGAAGAACAGCTTCAGTTCTTTGACCGTTATGCTGTAGCTGGCCAGCACTCCCAACATGTCGACCATCAGGTCTGTGGTGGAGAAGGAAAAACGTCAAAAGTTATGTCTGAAAAGGCGCTTCGCACTTAAAGGTTCAACGGGAGCCAGCCTGTTTAAGAGCTTTATCTGAAGCGTCGGGCAGGATTCACAAGCAAGGAGACCTGTGAAATGGGACCTTCAGGGAATAGAGGGGCTGTTTGATCTTGACCTACAGAGAGGGCACTTAGAGACACATCCAACACCCAAGATGCATTAAAACTGAGATGGGTAATTCCGAGAATGTGAAAGCAAAGGTCTGCCACCGAGGGGAGTCGCTTTTGACATTCCCAGCACATCTCTGACATTATACAGAGACTGGTCGATGTCTCCATGCACCCTGAGGTAGGATGAGGAACGTCGAGAGGGCTCTAGGATGGGTGGTTTACATGAAGTATAATTCCTATATAGCCATTAGCAGAGGTGGATAGTTCAGGTCCAGAAAATAAAAATCCAGACCAAGATTTTGTTTCAACCACCCAGTACAGTCACAGTGTATTCAACTGGTTGGTTGAAACAAAATCTTGGTCTGGATTTTTATTTTCTGGACCTGAACTATCCACCTCTGCTAATGGCTATATAGGAATTACACTTCATGTAAACCACCCATCCTAGAGCCCTCTCGACGTTCCTCATCCTACCTCAGGGTGCATGGAGACATCGACCAGTCTCTGTATAATGTCAGAGATGTGCTGGGAATGTCAAAAGCGACTCCCCTCGGTGGCAGACCT